CTTATTCGCCTGAGCTTGTTGTGTCGATTTACGACGCTCCTGTGTCGGTTACCGCTGGTCAGAAGCTGCGCCTGTGGTACCTCGAGGATTTGAAGAAATCCCATGAATTCGATACCCATGGAAAAGCATGCGCCGACATTTACGGTGAATTCATGTGTGTGAATTCTATATGCTCATGGGGCAACTGGTAACTAAAGGGAATACATATTATCAATAGAAGACAACTCGGAGGCCGATAACTTTGGAAGGGAACGCACTGATTAGTTTTGGGCGAATTAAGTTCTTGTAAAATTCTATTTGGTCTTGATAAGTTGTAAAGCTACTACTAAACTAAAGGAGTAAAAATAGCATAAAATGAATATGAAAAGAAAAACGTTTTTTTTTTTTTATAAAACTATAAATGAATTTGTCATTTTCGTTAATCACTATGTCCTTGAAATTTGCTAATAGCCCACGTTCCATATATTAAAACAAAATTCTAACATGAGTCCGAGGCTCTTTGGTCATATTTCTATTTTTCAGTGCTCAAGTCTCTTCTGGAGTTGTAATTTTGTCCATAAAGCCTCAGAGTCATGTTAGAATTCTGATATATCGAACCTGGGCTGAATTGGCAATGTTCTAAACGAGCGGGAAATGGGTAGGACTTTTGAACGTAAAGGCTCCCGGAATCGTTGGAAGGGACAGCAAAGGCAAATGATATATGTCATCATACATTTCATTATTAGGCAAAATAATCTTTCTTCAGAAATATTATTCTTTCTATAGTTCACTCTTTTGTTTCAAATGCTTTATAATAAATATAGTTAGCTCCTTCGCTGAGGTCGATCGGAAGCAAATTATCACTTTAAAAATCAACAAAAGAAGATTCAAGATTCATCGAGCCCTGATCTAATTTTTTCCTTTCTTTTATAACGGCGTAAAGTTGAGGAGATCAGTTCCATGACACCTATCGCAGATGTATTAAGAATCAAAAAATGAATCTGAACTGCCTCTTTCAGTTGTTGCGATTTCCAAAAAAATAGGAAAAAAAAAATGATCACAGTCAGAAAAAGCATTCACCCTTTTCACGGGAGAAGGATTGGAAAAATGTTCTAACCCATAGTTATAAATCATCAAGCACTCTAAGCAATGGAAGTAGGACCCATCGGATTCCAATTCGGGTCTGTAATAATACACCCGAGTGATCAACAAAATCGGACGACTATTTAAACGTGGGTCCGATTCAGTATTTAATCAAGAGCATTAATAAAAACCAAATTGGACGACTCAAAGTTCTTCTACCAATCAATCATATCCTTTATTTGTGATATTGTAAGCTTTTTAAAGATTAAGGTGTTTGATACAGTTTTTCAGAGACCATACCGATATTTTCCAATCGCCTTAAAAGTCATTTTATCATTGCCCGCCGCCCGATCACTATAAAAAAATTTTCGCCACTGGCTGATTTTCGATTGAGATTTGTCAAATTGTAGTTTTAATCAAAATAAATAAATAAATAAAACAATTGAAATCGTAAAGCCGAATTTCACGCGATCTAGACCTGCGACTGAAAAGCCGACACCAGGAACTTACTAGTGTGGTGTTTAACAACTAACCTCTGCAATCAAATGAATCGGAAATCTCGAGTCAGATTTAGTTAAATTCAAAACACAAGAGCATACTCTTAAGATAACTTAGAATAGGTTGGAAGCCACTTACCTTGTCTGCCCTTATTTGGCAAATGCGCTACTGTTTTGTACAAGACACTTTGAATGATCAAAGGACACTTTTCATTATTGGCTAATTATAAAAAGTAATCATTATGATAAAATGTATTGTCCCGACAGCTGGCACACAATATCATCTTTCCCAAATAATTGCAATTTGTCCGATTCAATAGTCTAAATTAACCTCTTGCCATCTTAAAGTTTGTCGTTGCTATGGAAACAACTATTTTAACGTGTCAGTGATCACGTGAAGTCGTCAGTAGCCAATCGCAATACTACCTGTCAAACGGTTGACATACCTGTCAAAAACGGGCCAGCAGTATTCCTGCACACCCATACCGCCTTGTTATATCTCCGATCTCATGGATCGATGAAAGCATTAATTGGACTCTCAGAACTTGGATGATCAACTTTACCTCAGGTTAGTTCTGAATGCACGTGCAAAAAGTCATATTTGTTGCCAGCCAAAAAGGAAAGTCATCCGTGCCCAATTAAGAAAGGTAGAACATTATAAGAATTCACCTTTTTTATACCCACTTTGCTTCGATATTAACTAACTTTTCAGCTGATGCGAGTTTGGTCGTAATTCACGAGCGAAACGCGAGCCTGAGTCAAGCACCAGCCACGAGCCAAGAGCTATGCACGAGACAAACTCGAGTCAACCACTGAATGTTTCAAAATTTATTCCCATTCGGAGAAGCAAAAATTGCCCAGAATTTTCTATAGCTTGACGGGGAGACTAAAAAGTTCTAGATGACCGTTCCATTCATGAACAATTCTCGAAGCTTATCTAATAAATTCCCTTCGATTTACTACGTTTAATTTTTCTCATATCACACCCCAGGTTAAGCTATTTGTCGCAGAGAAACGAAACCTAAAATTTTCGGAACCGAAAATGCGGTGAAGGGAGGAATCAGAAAGATTTCGTAAAACTTTAAATTGCGTCTAAAATTTTCGGGAAAATAATACTGAAGCCCTAATAATGACCGAATAGGTAATTTTTTTAGCGCCAACTGGAATACATTTCTAGAGATCTAAAAGTACTATGGATAACCTAAAACGTGTTTTCAATACATTTTGGAGGAGCCCCGTCGCTGGGTCAGCCCCTGCCTACTCTGGTAGTGTTGCGTTCATCAGTCAACTCCAAGCCCTTTCATGTAAATTACAATAATGCGAATCTTAAGACTGGAGCCCGATGATGTAATTATTGCTCCATTTGCAGTTATTGCCGTGGCAGTTGCTTTCCAGGGAGAAACATTACTTTAACTGTTTGTTTTCGTTTTGTGGCGAACCTTTCCTGACTGGACGCATTTACCGCGCCGTTTCAGGGATTGGGAATTCTCGCTTTCGAATTTTCTGTTAAACAGTCAATTACAAAGAGTGGATCTGGGATCCACTTTTGACAACCGAGAGACTTGCTTCTCCGGTCTCGTTTGGTCAGCCTCCTCCTTGGATCGCACCTCCCGTAAAAAAAACCTGGCTACGGGCCTGGGGTCCGTTTCTCGAAAGTCCCGGTAACTTTTCGGGTCCGAAATCAAATTTTCAAATCAAAATACAAAGAATAAGAGTACGGGTCTTGGCTAACAAACTGCTCCATTTTGTTTCGTTAACTGATAGTTTTATCATGTTGAATGCAAAACTATTGAAACCTCTATCTTGCATGTAAACAACAACAGCTTTACGGGCCCGTTAATTATTGGGACTTTCGAGAAACGGGCCCCTGGCCTTGTACATTTGTTATTTGTATCGCTTCTTTGTTTCTGTCAACAGTTTGGTCATTTCAGTTTCATGATTTGCTGTTAACCTGTGACAATAGGTGGTTTTCATGCAATCTCGGGAGACACAAATAACAATGGTGAAATGAACAAATGCTGGTGGACAAACAAAGCGAGCTAATGAGCCATCTTTTGTCCACCAGCATGGCGGCGATGACGTAAGGTGAAAACCACCTATAGCTTGTGACGCAAGTAATCATAAGCTCTTCAACTAACGCCTCTCTACGTCACGAAGTGCGTAGTTACGTAATATATAGATTAAGCCAGCGCTAAAAGCGAAGCTCTAGATAATATTAGTTTGTTTCAACAAAATATAAAATCGTGTAATGCTAGGCGGCGAGGGCATGCAACTCTGGAAAACTGTGAAAAACAACAATAGCTCTAATTAGCAAATTAGACCGCACACTTTTTTTGTACATTTCTTTTCCGTTGTTTCGCACGACTACAACGTGAAACTTCCAGAAACTTCTTAGTTCTTATAGAGGAAATGTCGTACGTGTTCCCGTTCACTTTTTTTTACTGCCTCTGATTTTCACCTTGCATTGGTGGCCGCTCTCATTTCTCATTTTTTCACCGCCGCTACAAAATTTTTATGTTGTTCTTCCAACAAAAAAATGTCTCCTTTGTTTTTTATCTCTCGTTCTAAATTCCTGTCGCGTTTTTTCTCGTTGAGCTTGGCTGGCCTAGTGCCCACTTTCTCTTTTTCTCTCTGTTTCTCATGCTCTATGTTCCAAATTTGTGGACATGACAATTTATCTAAGCTTAATACTTTAGACAACACGGATACAGAAACAATTTCCGCTTTCCGTTTTCGTCTTTATTGACTCTTTTGTTGTCTCTGGTTTATAAGACGCCGGTGGCTATGCGATTTCCCGCCAAAATAACCTCGAGTTGCTTGTGGGTTGCCATGCCTGTTGATTAAGTTATTTTACATTGGTATGCCTGTGGTGCGGACGGACGGTCTCTCGGGCGGGCTGTCGGTGTAAGGTCACGTGATTACCAAATTTTCTCGGATGGGTAGATTACTTCATTTTCTTACCCATGGTGCTCTCGCGCGCGAGAGCTCCGCTATCACATATTTCATGTTTCCTGTCAAATTATTTCTACAATTTATATAAAACATTTGGGCTTGACTCGAGGTTGGCTCGTGTCTGGCTCGTGGCTCGTGGTTGTCTCGGGCTGGTAAAATGACCAACTCAGCTGATGTGTCGTAAAAGGCAGTTCAGTCTAGGTTTTGCGGACGGGTTCGATCACCAAAAGACACTGAAGATATATTAAAGCAGCCGGATAAACAAGTCATGCAGATCCATGCACTATAAGAGACTGCAAGAAAAAGAACATTTATAGCTTTTGCAACAATTGCATATTAACAAAATTTTGCAAAAGAAAATGGTAATTTCCCTTAATTGAGTGGAAGGCAATATGGTCTGAAAATCGTGCGAAAATCAGTTGACCGGTAAAATGTCATAATGTTTTTAATTCCTTCTTCCCAGAAGTGCCATTTTTGCCCTAACTGACCATGAAGACTCTAGCTTTTCTGTTAATGGCCCTGATGTTCGCTGGAAAGGCCGAGGCTCAGCCGTCTTGTCCGCCGCCCTGCTGGGGTCCCTGTAGCCGTAAGTATGGACTCTTCCTAAATAAAGTACCCTGGCAACAGGAGGTTACGTCGCTTCTACCAAACCGACGGACAAGGCCAATAAAAATTCAGATGTTTTTCAAAAGGACAAATCTATGTTCACACCATGCCAGCGACTGAAAAACAAAACAAAAACAAAAGACTTTGTACTTAGTGACAGACCATTTATCACGAGGCACGACGCACTGAGTGGCCTAGCGGTAAGAAGAATATGATACTTCGAGTATTAAAATATGTATCCGAAATTAAAACTCCGGAAAAATCTTGCAAGGCCTGTTTTTAAGAAATAAATAATACAGGTTGGACAGTAAGGACTTGTTGAACTGACGATAATCTTGTTGATTATAAATTGACTGACAATCGCAGATCACTCGAACTGTTAATTGCTCGAACTATGCACCGTACAACTCAATCAATATATTGGCTTATTTTAAACACTTAATTTGTAGTATTTTTTTCCTTATACTACTACATCAGAAATTTCTGCAATTTGATTGGCTTAGCCGGAGCAGTGGTATTTCAGCTTAATTTGAAACACCTACATGTGAAAATTACAAACCGTTTGCGGGCAGTAGTATTAACAAATAATAGTATAATTTGTAAGACGTGATATTTGGCATAAATACCACACGTGATATTTCAAAATTGTGTCAAATTTCACTCGCCTAACGACTCGTAAATTTAGGTATAACAATCTCGAAATATCACTCGTGGTATTTATGCCAAATATCACTACAAATCATGCTATTACCCATACAAAGCCACAGCTATTTGCTTAAAAAAACTGCAGTCAAGTATTTGAAAGAATACTGACTTTAGTGTTAGTTCGTAACTTTTGCTCACTTTTTAAAACAACATCAATATCATATCATATTTTATTGTTAGTAGGTTCTTACCTTCTGGAAAAGTTGCGACTAGCTAGCTAAAAAATTTTACAAAACGAGTTTGGTGTTACTGATTTTGTTTGAAATGAAGGTAAATAATCTGAATTATTGACTTTTTCATCCTTTTATGCAACCGAAAAATTATAGAGCAAATATCGCCACGGACAGGGTGGATTGCCTAATACCAGTCCTCTGATTTGCTACCATGTGACTCAAAAAGCCACTAAAATCGCAGAAAAATTAATTGGTGGTTTATAATGCATATTATTCTTTCAGAGACTCTGAGAAAGGTGAAAATCTTGTTAGACGAAGTGAATGAGCTAAAACAAATCGTAGGTGAGTGACTATCTGCAAACGCGTATCCGGATACCAAATTAAGCCAAATACAAGCCTATCAAACCTTTGTTACTCTCTAGCTTCTATGTTTCTTGTACAGTCAAAGAGCCCCTCACGGACACCCGCTTATTGCCATTATTACGGACTCTTCTAAGGCTCCCGCAGTGTCCGTATTAACAGAGTTTGACTGTACTTCCACCCGAAATCATTTGGAGTAACGTGTTTTAAGCGGTACTGCTTGGCTTGGGCCTGAGAACGTAACGCCTTACAGGGATCTCATATCTGACTAGAATATGGTCACATGGTACAAAAGACACCTTGCTGGATGGCAAACAATTGCAACGCATTGGGTCCTTGAAAAGAAAGGATATTAGCTTCTAAGATGATGCCGTAACCTCTTTGTTTTCAGTCTTGCCCTCTTTTGACATCTACCCGGGCATCTAGCACGATGCATTTGTACCGTGTGATCGTATTCAGCAAAGGACCCATCAAATTAAAGAAAACTTCGCATTATCTCGTAAGGAACAGATTCTTATAAAACGTACCAACTACTATTCCTGTGTTGAATATAAATGGTGGAATTGTCCATTTTGAGAAATCAAGCTTTTAAGGTGACTTGACATTCGAATTCATCTCATCAAATTTTCAACGCGAAATGCCGAGTAACAATATTTCAAACCACGGTGAATTGAGAAGCTTTGAGTTCAAGTTCCAGTTCATTTATACACAGTTATTCAATTACAATACAACAACAATAAGAAAAAAAAAAGAAGAAGTAGAAACAGAGCTAACTGTACATTGAATTAAACATAACAAAGGAAAAAAGTGTGTAGCAGCCAAAGGAGCCAAGCTTTTGAGTCGGGCTACTACCACAGAGCGGTTACAAGTGGGTGGAGATTATACAGTACTTATAAAAAAATAGTTATAGAGCTCTGGCTAAATTAATCATATTGAAAAGGAAGGGTATATAAATTTATTTGATAACTATTTAAATTAAATAATTAAATAATTAGAGCTAAATAACAGATTAAAGTTGTTCAAGATAGCTGACTGCCAAGTAGAAAGAGTTTATATTCTTTTTTAAAACAGTTCAAAGCCAGACACTTAATTTTCATAGGTGTTGCTTCCCAGGTCTGTGATGCAACTACGCTAAACCTTGCTAGGCCATATTAATTAGTTCTGGAAAACGGTCTGCGCAGGTTTTGATTAGTGGCATACCTAGTATTATGATTATGGACAACAGAAGCCGCTTGAGCTAAGTCAGACAGGGCAGGAGGTGTATTCTTTTATTGTTTAATAAAAAATAGAGAATTTTATTCTAAAAACTTTGACGGTTGATTTGATCTCTTTTTGTGTCAAAAGCCGTGAATCAAACGTTCGTCAAACTCAATACGGACCCAGTGTGTTTCGGGACAAAAGATGACGCCTATGGTGAATTTCAGGCTTTGAAAGGTGGCAAACTAAGGAAGGTCAAGTTGGTTCATCTGTATGGATACGTTTCCTGTGCTAAATCCTCTCCCACATATTGGTCACATTGGGGTTGTGGCCTTCTCAAAGAAGCCGACAGTGGCAGTACGGATTTCATTATTGTGGCCTTGACAGACGAAAGCAATAAGATTCTTTTCCCGCCTAAAAAGTTGGGTAAAGGCGCCCACGGTTGGGTTTTGGTTCCTGGTTACAATTCTTATTCGCCTGAGCTTGTTATGTCGATTTACGACGCTCCTGTGTCGGTTACCACTGGTCAGAAGCTGCGCCTGTGGTACATCGAGGATTTGGAGAAATCCAGTGATTACAATAACCGTGGAAAAGTATGCGCCGACATTTACGGTGAATTCATGTGACTGAATTCTACATGCTAATGGAGCAACTGGTAACTAAAGGGAATATAGGTTATCAATAGCAGACAACTCGGAGGCCAATAACTTTGGAAGGGAACGCACTGATTATTTTTGGGCGAATTAAGTTCTTGTAAAATTCTATTTGGTCTTGATAAGTTTTAAGGCTATTACTAAACTAAGGGAATAAAAAACGAATAAATTAATGAATGTGAAAAGAAAAACGTTTTTTTGATAAAACTATAAATGAATTTCTCATTTCCGTTAATCACTAGCTATGTCCTTGAAATATGCTAATAGCCCACGTTCCATATTTAAAAATTCTAACAGGACTCCGAGGCTCTTTGGTCATATTTCTATTCTTCAGTGCTCAAGTCTCTTCTGGAATTGTCGGACAATGGAGTCGCGAAACTTTTTAATTTTGTCTATAAAGCTTCAGAGTCATGTTAAAATTTTAATATATTGAACGTGGACTATTGGCAACGTTCTAAACTAGCGGGAAATGGGTAGGAGGACTTTTGAACATAAAGGTTCCAGGAATCGTTGGGAGGGACAGCAAAGACAAATGATATATGTCAGGATACATTTCATTATTAGGCAAAATAATGTTCTGACTCACCAGAAATATTATTTTTTCTATAGTTCACTCTTTTATTTCAAATGCTTTATAACAGAGATAGTTAGCTCGTTCGCTGAGGTAGGTCGGAAGCAAACTATCACTTTAAAAATCAACAAAAGAAGATTCAAGATTCATCGAGCCCTGATCTAATTTTTTCCTTTTTTTAAGGGCGTAAAGCTGAGGAGATCAGTTCCATGACACCTATCGCAGATTTATTGAGAATCAAAAAATGACTCCTTCTGAACTTACTCTTTCAGTTGTTGTAGTTTCCAAGAAAATAGGAAAAAAAATTGATAACAGCCAGAAAAAAAACATTCACCCGTTTCACTGGAGAAGGATTCGAAAAATGTTCTTACCCAAAATTATAAATCATCAAGCACTCTAAGTAATGGTAGTAGGACTGAATAGAGTCCAATTCGGTCTGTAATAATACGAATGATCAACAAAATCAGACGACCATTTATATTAAACGTGGGTCCGATTTCAGTATTTAATCAAGGGTATTGATAATAACCAAATTGGACGACACAAAGTTCTTATACCAGTTAATCATATCCTTTATTTGTGAAATTTTAAGCTTTTTAAAGATTAAAGTGTTTTATACAGTTTTTCAGAGACCATACCGAAATTTTTCAATCGCCTCGGTGATTTTCTCATTGCCTGCCGCCCGATCATTTTGAAATTTTCGCCACTGACTGATTTTGGATTGACATTTGTCAAATTGTAGTTCTAATTAAAATCGATGTCACTATGACAACAATAAGCAATAAACAATCGATAAAAGCCGAATTTTGCGCGAAAAAGCCGTCACCAGGAACTTAAAGTGTGGTGTTTAGCAAATAACCTCCGCGATCAAATGAATCGGAAATCTCGAGCTAGTCAGATTTCATTAAATTCAAAACACAAGAGCACTCTTTTAACATAACTTGAAGTCGTCAGTAGCCAGTCGCAATACTACCTGTCAAACGGTTGACGTACATGTGAAAAACGGGCCAGCAGCCGGTATTTCTGCACACCCATACCGCCTTGTTATATCTCCAATCTCATGAGTCGATGAAAGCATTGGACTATCAGTACTTGGATGGTGAACTTTACCTCGGGTTAGTTCTAAATGTAATGTTGAGTAAAAAGCTATATTTGTGGCCAGGCAAAAAGGAAAATCATCCGTGCACAATTAAGAAAAAGTGTAACACTATAAGAATTCACCTTTTTTATACCCACTTTGCTTCGATATTAACTAACTTTTCAGCTGATGCGAGTTTGGTCGTAATTCACGAGCCAACGCGAGCCCGGGTCAAGCACGAGCCACGAGCCAAAAGGCCATGCATGAGACAATCCCGAGTCAAACCCTAATGTTTAACATTTTATTCCCATTTCTGAGTTTCATGGGCTCAGAAAAGAAATCGGTCTAGAGACGTCACTCCTCGGGAAAGGGTTTCCTCTCAAATATCACAACAACATAACAACAACAAGATAAACTTTATTTTCACTCGAATTTTGGAGTAGCTAGTGAGCTAATAGGAGCAGCAGGACGGGAACGTCAGTTGACGACGGGAAAGCTCGCGGAAAGGTCTAAACACGACTTCCGGTGCTCAATTTGCCGTTCTGCCATTGGTCAAGCCAGTTGTTTGATTTGCACGCGCCGTCGTCAACTGACATTCCCGTTCTGTTGCTAAATCAGCCTAATATCTTCGAGCTGACACCACATAATATATAGATTTAGCCAGGGCTAAAAGCGAGGCTCCCATTAGTAAATTTATAATTTAAATTAAACAATAAACTTGTATTCGAATTCCATTAGAGAAAAATAATTTGCAAACAGCTCAAGAGTGAACCAAATCTTACATCGAGTTGATAGCCTCATATGTACACTCAAAAACTGGTAATCATCTTTTATCACATTTAAGAGCCGTAATGGCTATTGATCACCGTAGATCAATTAGGCTTAGAAAAAAAACCAGGCCAACGTTTTGGCGTTCGACAAGTTTACTTTGCAAAATCTTGCCAACAAATCTGGGTGCGTGTAAACCAACCTTTTATACCATGGACAGAAAGCAGTATTTCACAAAACAAATTGCTCTCATTCAATATTCATAAACTGTTAAAAAAATTTTCCAAAATCACCTATACGGCCATCCGGTTCTCACTTTTGTAGCGCGAGCTGTAGCGAGTGTTTGAATGAACATTAACAGAGTTACGCTCCAAGATAATAAAGAATTTATCATGTTTATTTTTTATTTGATGGTTTAACGCGCGGCATTTTGAGAACTCCTGCAAGCGATGTTCACTGAACGACTGAAAACAATCGGCATAGCGATTAAAATTGCAAGAGAGACTACTAACAATCAATAAAAGAAATATAATTCGGTGAAACATAAACAGAGACAACAATTTTCATTCAGGAAGACAAGTATTAAAGTGTCCCTAAATATCCTGAATCTTCAAGCTTCAAGCTTAAGTTTGCTGAAGTTTATGTTTTAAGCCAGCTTCCCGGTGTTTGTTTTTTCAAAGACGAACTCGAGGCAAGAAAATCGCTCAAAGCTTTCTTTTCCGGCTGGAATTATAACTAAAGATTCTTTGGAACATTTTCTTTCTATTTGCGGTGAGAAACTGTCTAAAGGCTTTTTAAAGTTCTGTAAGATTATATCAAACCAGATACTCGGTGAGATCGTTGTCTCAAATCTTACAAACGCGCATAAACTAAATTCCCGCATAAACTACGCTCCACTTCATTAAATTAGATACAAAAACAAACATGAAATACAATAATTTCTCTGGCTTACCATTCGAGATGCAGCTCCTGAAAGTTATCAGGTAAAGCCAGTATCGCTTCAGACTTTGCAATCCTCTTACGCATCAAGCAAGGTGAAAACGAAAACGATGCCATCCGAGATCGGATTTCCGACTTTGATAAGCGACGTTTTCTCAACCAAAAACCCAATAAACAAACTAGCCATGAGTAACAGAAGACTCCTGATAGCAGCTGAATTTCATTTTGTACATCCAGTGGAAAAAGACAGTTAAAAACATCACAAGTTGACACAAAACTCTGTCAGCTTCAGCTGTTAAAGTAAACAAGATTCAAGATGCTGCATAAATTTTGCGCATGAACTCACCTGTCAAATTTTGACCAATCAGAGCATAAAAATTGGACGTAGAGCGTGACCAACGCGTGACCATTGTGAGAAAAAACAAAAGCAACTGTCTTCCCTGCCTGTAACAGCTGGCTGAATTTTCACGTCCGAGGTCAGTTTGCAATCAAAATTTTAATTGTGCAGCACATAAACACAACATATTTCATATGAATTAAGAAAAAAAATTGAACTTGAGCCTGCGATCACTTGAAAACTAGTATACTTGTCAGCGGATAACTTCAAAAAATACTTGACCTCGACGGGTCGACACCTGAGCCCGCGATACGGTCAAGTGATACTGGTCAGCGGGTACTCTGTTTTGACAGCTGTCAATTGATCAAAACATTGATGTCCAATATGTGTGCATTATCAGTTTTCCTGTGCTCCCAAACTAGTAAAAGTATGAGATTGAACGTTGTTCGCGATCTAGTAAAACAGTTAACTGGTCAGCGGACAGCTTCCAAATAAATCACGTCACCTCGATGAGTTGACACATGAGCCCGCGATATGGTCATGGGATACTGGTCAGTGGCTATCCTGTTTGGACAGCTGTCAATTGACCATATTGTTAATGTCCTATATTAAAGATGTGGACTTGCCAAGACACGCCTGAGACACCCCTCCCTTCCTTTTGATAGTCTCCCCTACCCCACCCATACAATCTGTAGACGCGTACGTACGTGCGTACGTACGTACGTACGTACGTACGCTCGGTCAATCACGTGACAACCAAACGAAAAGAGGTTGACCATATTCCATGGGTATGGGGCTCTGTCCCACGCGCGCTTCGCGCGCGCGGGAGCCCCGCTAAAAATGCGCCAGATGCATTATGAATAATAATAATAATAATAATAATAATAATAATAATAATTATAAAACACATAAAAGAAACTAATATTATAAGTATAAGTGTATACAAGCAAAAAGAATCTGCATAAAGGTAACACTGTATTTTAGTCTTAAAGTCTGCAAAAAAACTAGTAGTGCGAAAAAAGTCAGGAAGTGCATTTCACTGCTTAGCTGAAAAGTAAGAAAAGGTTTAAGACCATAGGTAGTTGTTTTAGGTTTACTTCATATAAGCAGGAAAATGAGGGAAAAACAAACTCTTATATAAAAATATGAGGAAATTCTGAACGCCCTTGTTACACATCGGAGTAGAGTTGACTTTTGTAAGAAGAGTTCTGTATGGAGACGATCGAGTAATCTCCAAGTATAAATCTAAGTATTCGTTTATTTTGCGCTCGTAGCTTGTC